TTTCACAGACCGCAACCATCCAACCCGTTTGGCAGTTGGCATGTGCCGGAGAGACCGGGACAGGTCATTGGCCTAGATTTTATGGGACCTTTTCCGGAGAGAAAAGTTGGGAAGAAGCGGTTTGTTCTCGTCATTGTGGACATGTTGACCAGACGGGCAGGGGCGTGGGCAACGACTGGTGCAGGGGGAGCTGATATTGTGAGGGGACTAAAAAAGTGGGTAGCGACACAGGGGGCACCTTCAATTCTGTGTTCTGATGTCTGCAAGGCTACACAATCCAAGGAATTGCGGCGATGGTGCATGCATGAGGGAGTGACGCAAGAGTATTCTCCTCCATACCATCATGCTTCTATTGGGTTTGTGGAACGGTTCAATCAAACCTTATTGAATCGTTTGCGGCGAATGTGGGCAGAGCAACCCAAGTATTTTGCCAAGACAGTTGAGCGAGCAGTGGATATCTACAATGGTACGCCTCTATCTTCACCAGAAGAGAGCAAAGAAACCCCTAGTTCGTTCACTTTTGGATCGCCAGAGCAATTGTGGAATAGCTCGCAGGAAGTGTGGAGTCAGTTGCGTGAGTATACACGTCAGCAGCGAGACATGGCCAACCACAGAACGAGAGGGCGGCGCATCGCGCGAATGTTCAAGGCAGGAGACCGGGTATGGTTGTGGAACACAAAGGTGGAAACATTAAAGGACAAGCTCGAGCCATGGTGGAAAGGGCCGGGCCAGTTGATTCGTCCTATCACGACTTCAGTGTGGGAAGTTAAGGGACCAGAGGGGAAAGTTTGGATTAGACACACGGATATGATACGACCGTACCATGACATGGTTTGAACTGATGGTATTTCAAGTCATGTTTCAATTTAGCGCAGGGAAGCGTGTGAGGATAAGGAAAATGTGTATAAATAGTTAAGTGAGTGTGGTGCATCGGATACGGTGTTTATTACGGTGACACGGAGAATGATGGGAAAAGATATGAACTGAACACGCTTGCGGTGAATGCTACATGACAGACAGAACCATTCTGTAATCCATCTGGTTGCGGTTTGCTTCCCATGCCTGGGAGCGACCGTGTGTGAGCGCGAGCGAGGAGCGCGAACAGTGAAACCACATAACAATAAGCATAGATAATGACAATTGTATCATACTCCCAAAGAGCTCACTGAGATACTATAACGATGTTGAGCACAACGCCAATACGTGGCAGCACATCACACGGAGACACATGAGTCAAACATGCCCTGAATACGCCTTAGTATACTGAAGAACACCCGGGTTGCCAATGGACACGTGTGTTTGTTTAGGAGCTGCCCGCCTGGTGGTCTGCCGTGGATCATGGCCACATGGATCCAGGAGGGGCGTGTCGAGATGCCACATGCTTGTTTGATGGAAATATGCCCCCTGGGGCATAATGTGGTTGCTGACCATGGGAAGTGTGGTTGCTTGCTGGGAATGTGGCCCTTGGGGCACATGTGGTGGCTGATTGTGGGCAGTGGGGCGTCCTGGGTTGAGTTGTGGTGAAGCAGCGGGCGTGGCAGAAAGATTCCGGGTATCAAAAGAGCATCTCTTTGGAATGGGGGTATTTTTGCCAAAGGGGTGCGGACAACGCGGAGGGGAACTCTCTATTGTTGCACTCGGCCTGGCAGCTGTAAGAACAGTTGCGTGGGGTTTGTGTGTCCTTCGCACGGCGGACTAGGTGCTCAGTCTGGCTGCCTGGCCCCCTGACCGTGCGCGTAACGTTGGCCACGGCCTGAGCGCAATAGCGCTCGACCTTTTTGAAGGTCGCAGCCAGTCTGGGCCTTGTTTTCAAGGCGCTTCCGCACCCTTCAAGACCAGCACCTCCAGCGCGGTCTAGTTGCCGACCAGAACACGCCAAGCCTCGTCTTTGTACAACCTTGTTGAGGCGGAGAGAAGCATTCCCCGTGTCATACACTGACGTGTTGTGGACAAGGCAGCTTTGACCCATAGACCTGACCTCCGTTTTGACTTTGTCAACCGTTGCGACTAGTTGGGGCACTCTGAGCGGCAGCTGCGAGAGTTTCCACAAGCATACTTGCATGGTTGGCTGGCAGTGGGGGTGTTGCTACCCTTTTGAAGCTTCCCCTTGCTGTCACCGTTGTTTTGCTGGTCGTGTCAGCATGCCAAGCAATTCTTAGTGAAGAGCCGGTTTGCTCGGGGAACAAAGCTTGTTCGTTGAGTGCACCCTCAACTGCTGTGGTGCTGAGCCTGTTGACATGGCTCAGCTGCCCGTTTGAGGGTAACTTTGCTGCGTTGTTTCCGGGGACGACCATCAGAATGGATTACAACGATGGAATCTCCTGCAACCCGGGTTTCATGGAAAACAGAACTTCTAGCAGCTTTGAGGATTCCGGCAAGGATATGGAGATAGATTTGTATGATGATGATGAGAGAGAAAGAATGGAAGCCACGGCATTGGGCACCCCTCCCTATCCCTCCACTCTGCTGGCCGCAAGGAGCCCAGGCGGGCAGTGCCCACTTCGCTGTGCATAGATGGAGATCTGCCATGGAACACACACCTCCCTTGGCCTCCCGGGAAGGCCTTGGGCCCGGGCCCCACAGCGGACGCACCAGACCTGCCGTCCGCCCGTCTACGATATGCCAAGTTCGCGAAAACAAATGGCCACCGTGCCATCCATCTGCCGGACACCTCTCTTGCGTGTGTTTGGTTGTCCGCAATAGTAGCTTGAGGTCCCATTGTGCAGCAAAGTTGAATAAAGTACTACAGAAATGGTGACAAGCCAGAAAAGGGGGCGCTATTGGGGGCGAGGGGCGCTATACAGGGACCCCTACTGTACTGTAATGGTGGTTGTAGCTTCAGCTCATCACTCATAAATGAACGGCTGGCGCCACTATCCACCAATGCACGTACTGGCGTGCCATGGATCACCACTGTCACGACGAGCAGGTGATCTCGCGATCCAGCACCCTGGGTCCCAAACTCAGCAGCAGTTGGCGCTGTTGTGTTGGGTCCTGTTGTGCTTCACGTTTTGTGGGGGAGCTCCTCTGTTCGTATTGTTGTAACACACATCTGGAAAAAAGTTGCCACGTGGATGGCATCCACTATTGGCTCCACGAGCACTGATTGCTCTTGTTGGACAATTCTGTGGGTTGTGGACATTTTGGCGCATTGCAAGCACGGGACAGAGGCACAACACTCCAGTGTTGAGCCTCCGTAATATCATATGTGCAACATCGACCACGTGCAACGGCGGCATACCTTGGCTGAGCAGCACACCATGCAGCAATCCAAGTGTGGCCGTTCTGCTCAGCTGCACTACCCAAAGCATCCGTGTCGTTCGCTTGCAAAACCCATCCTGGCTGGTCTGCGCAGGAGAGACTCCACCTTTGGCAGCATGTGGGAAACCTGGATATAGGGGGGCAACCACGCACAGGTAATCATGTGGCTCCAGGACAGTCACCTGCCGTTTCGACAAGCAAGGCAGCAGCACAGCATGAACAGATCAACCAGTTACATGCACATCACCCCCCATGCAACGCCCAAAGCAGTTAACCCGTTTGACACCCAGCTCGTGTTTTTTTTCTCCCCCCTATGGTGCGCGTCCCAAAGAAGCAACAGAACAAATTACAATCCAAATCCCAGTGGGGTCCTCATTCATGGCCCCACAATCCCTGCCTGAGCCCCTCCGGGGATGCCAGCTCTCTTACGCCTCCCAAACCTATCAGCGTTTAGTTAGGCTAATCGAATGCACAACAAAATGGTCCACCCTTATGGCCAACTACACATCTGTTCTCAGTCCCAGATTGCCTGCAACGGTTGAAGTACCAGCATCAATTCCCGTCTTGAGACTTTCTTTTGGCAGTGGCGGGCGCCCACCACCATTCAGTTATGAGTGTAGTAAAAAACCAAAACTGCAGTCCCTCGTCAAAAACGCGGCTGGCATATCCGCTAGCAGTGGTCAACCTGGCACAGCGTCCCCTTCCTCCCTGCCTTGGTACAGGACCTCAAACCCAAATGGGCCCTCGCACCTCTCGTTTGCACCCCAGCAATTTGGTGCCAGTTCCGGCGGTGCACAGCAAACTACTCTGAAGCTGGAAATACGGAAAGAAACGTTGGCTACAGGACTCAGCAAAGAACATTCCCCGCAAGGTGCTCATGGCAACAAGAATCCCCTGCAACCCCCAACACAAAGCCCACACTGCGAGTGGCTCTTGTTCTCAGCTCTTGATGATTCGAAATGGCATTCTGACGCCCCTTGGACGCCTGTTTGATACTGTCACATGTGACTGTGACCACTAGCAACCCTCACGCTATCGCCCATACATAACGACTGACACGATTCAACACTTGTCGTTGCCATCCAACGTGTCCATTAAACCACTAGCACCTGACATTATGCACAAACAGTTGTAAGCCAATGAACGGAAAAGTCCACAGAGCAATTCCGCTCCATACGGTTTTGTGAACACACAAAGTGTTGCACCCAAGTGCCTGCACTGCGACGTGCAACACAACCAATAGGTCGCATCAAGGCACACATTTCCACACTAGGATGTGCTTAAGGCTTTCAATCACATGAACGGGGCTGTGCACATACAACAGGTACAGTTAGTCAAAACAGACTGTTCCACAGTATTTGCATATTGCCCCAGCCGTCACTGTCAAGAATGCAATAGCACGAGTTCTTCTAAACAGGTGCTATGCATGTCAGGAGTGCTGCAGGTACACAACCTGAACGAAGGCGAGCATACTTGCACTGGAATAGGGGCAACAACATTTTCATTTTCAGGAGTAACACAGTGGCGAATTCAGCTTAGCAGACTGAAAGGCAGCCATGAACCATAGCCTGGTAAATGTTGATGAAGAATGCCTGGTGCACCCTTCCCAACAATTCTAACCCCTGGCAGGGTACACAACAGAGGAAGGAAAATGAAAGCAAGCAGGGTGCAGATGCAGATGCCACACATGATGCTGCAGAACAAGAACCAACCTGACACGACTTCACAGGGATCCAGCTTCAATGCACTGATCCCGCAGTTGTGCAGACATCCCTGCAATGCATTCCAAGCACGTCTGTCAAGACACATAATCAGAATTCCTGCGATGAATGCAAACACTGAGAGCAGGCCAAAAACTTACAAGATCAAGCCCCTTACTGGCATCAACTGGATCGCCTCACAGCTTTTTGATCAAGGAACAAGGCACTCCATTTCGATGCACACAGAACAGAGCCTCAAGCAGTCGTGTTCAGGACAGGCAGCCAGTGCATGACTTGTTCTCTACCTGCTGCAAGCGAATTCAAGACGGGGAAACAACCAATCAGCAACAGTCGGCAGGCACAACAACCGTCGCATGAAACATCAACCTTCCCAGTTGAAAGTAACAGGAGGTAGGCTGAGACCCTGCAAAACGCTACAAGCAGTGGTCGGCAAGGCCTGCAATAGGCCTAGGACCTACCCTACATATCAAACCTCTGCCAAACCCTTCACCATGAGCACCGGGCCAAAGGCAGAGCAAAGCAAGAGGAGACATGGAGAGAAGGAGGGTGTGTGTGGAAGGGGGGGGGGGTGTCATCGAACGTGCCCCACCTATTGTGGCTCCCCAGTGGCTCCCTCCTGCACAGCCTCCCACTGCCCCCGCGAGCCCCTCCGCCAAACGCCTCTTCACGGTTCTTCCTGCCAGGGCTCTCCGTCGTCTGCCTCCCGCTGGCCTTCGCCCACTCCCGATCCCGCCCGCCGGACCGCTCGCCCCCTCGCCGCGGCGTCCTGGGCGGCTGCCCCCGAAACGCCCCGCCACCGGGACCCTTGTTCGAGCGATGGCTGTCGCTGCCATTCGATCCGGTGCCCTTGTCCGCGTTCCAATTGGACGATCGATCGGCGCGGGAGCCCCGGGCGCTCTGGCTGCCGCTGCCCCGCGCGCTTTGGCTGCCGTTGCCGTGGCGCGGCGGTCCCCTGGCGCTCATGCTGCCTCCATTCGACCCGCTCCCCCGCGCACTGGCGGGCCCGCCGCTGTATCGGGGGCTGCAGATGGCCGTCGTCCGGTTGTCGTTTACGCTGTGGCACCTCTGCGGCTGCTGTCCGCGCGCGGATCTCGGCGTTCCTGCGAGGTCCAACCAAAACCCGCGGGTTACCTGGCGCATCCCTGAACTCCCCACTACCCCATTCCCCCGCCCACATCACGCACGCGAATTCACTCCAAACTCCGATTGCAATCCTCCGCGCGGCTGATCCGCCCCGCCAGATCCCCTTCCCCCTCTCCGCGCACCCCCCCCCCGCCCCTCGCCCCCTGGCAGCGCCTGATCCAATCCATCTCGTAACCGCGCCCCGACACCGCCCGCCCGCCCCCACCGCCCGCACTCCTCCCCTCCATCCCCTGCCCCCCCTCCCCCGCCCCGCGCCCGATCCCCGCTGCCTGATCCCCCCGCCCGGCCCTACCTTTGGACTGGCCCCGACCAGACAGCGGCGGCCTGGCCTCCTGCTGACCCGCCTGCCCCTTCCCTCCGCCTCCTCCGCCGCGCCGGTCCCCTCTCCTCCCTCCCTTGCCAGCCTTCCCGCCCTTGGGCTGCCCCTCCTTGCCTCCGGCCCCCTTCTTCTTCGCATCCTCGCCGCTCCCCGCATCCGCCGACGCCCCCTCCCCGCGCCCCCTGCGGCCCGAGCCGCGCCCACCGCGCCGGCGCCGCGACGAGCCCACTGACGCGATGAGCTGCAGGGGCGGGGCCTTGGGCGAGCTGTTCTCCAGCAGGATGCGGCTCAGGCAGCCGTCGTCGTCCAGGCCGTCCAGCACCATCGCCTCCTCCACGTCCTCCGCCCAGTCGAACTTCTCCGCCGCGAGAAAAAGCGCATCCTCATCGAGCGACAGCCGGGGCACAGGTTCCCCCTCCGCCGGGGCCTGCATGGCGCAACCGGGCGTCCGCGCCTGCTGGAAGGCCCTTCAGAAAGCAAGTCCGGCCCTCATGAGTTTTTACATAGAGCGGCAACAAAGGGGGCAGAGCACTCTGGTGGGCAGGGGCTGACCACGGCAGGCCTTCATTGAGATGGGCCGAGTACGCCGGCCCGGGCGCCGGACCGGCGTATCCGGATCCGGATTCTTGGGCCCCGGCGGATCGCGTAGGGGGGCCCATGTGGCGGAATGGGCACGCTCTTGACTGCCTGGGGGTAGCCAGTGTGTTAGGTTGGAAAATAGGCAAGGGCACGAATGAGGGAATCGTTGGGTGGGGGGGTGTCGGGGGAGTTAAAAAAGGCACCAACCTGGCGGGGGAGGGGGGGGCGGTGGTAGGCGGCGGCTGTCACGATGGCCATCAAGCCGTTCATAGGTTGGGAGGATTTGCTCACCTACAACGCGGTTGTAGGCGTGACGAAAAATGGCGCCACCCAAAACTGATGTTCCCCAGGCAATGCTAGAAATCGCCGTCCTTACTTATGGAGGGTATGTTCAATAGGTCCGGTTATTGTTTCAAACAATATCCAAGGACCAGTGAAAAATGTGCATGGGTATAGTGAGGACGTTGTATGTGTATAAGGAGATACAACATACATGGCGTACATGGCGTACACGAAAGATGGAGACAGTGACATTGTATGACATAACAAGACTTGGTGTCCAACACAATATTGCATTTTAGATATAGAGTGTACTGTGTAAGGCATCCTTCACTGTCTTCCCCCGGTGCCTGGGTAAGGCCGTGTGTGAGAGTGTAACAAGGATTGAACAATGTTGTTTGTCATGATAGGTACAATGACAACATCTAAAAGTCGAATGCATCCACGTCTCAATTGACCAGTCCCCATCTACTTGCCCTTGTGATCCTAAGCTAAAATGGGATGGCCCACACTCACAAAAAGGTTGACAACTTACGTGCACTATTGGTGTTGTGGAAACCCTAATGTCCATTTGGTTTTCTTTATAAGTTTGGTACATGGCTTCTGCAGGGTGCATGATAAAGAAAGCCATTGCACCCACTCAGAAGGCAATGGCGGGTTTCGTATCCAGAAATAAGAAAGATGTTGATGCAACATTGATGGCCAATGATGCAATGAGTTTATCGATGTATTGTTGATCGGCAGTGCACCCTTAGACTTACTACTCAAGAATGGTATTGCAACAACACCTGGGTATTGGCATCTTGTGAGCAACAATGGTTGTGACTTTGATGTTTCTAGCAAGAAAGGAATGTGAAAATTCATGCAAGTTTATGCTAGTGCCATCAGTGGTATTAATTCTAATAATGTATTGATGCGCAATGCTCAATGTTGTGCCACAGCCACGGGGCCACACACACACCCAGAAAAGAGCAACATGAGGATGCGGAGGGTGGTTTGGGCAAAAAATTACAGCGAATGGCATCACAACAAAAACAACCATATCAAGTATTGGTTTATTAAGCTATCAAATTGTTTTAATTGCATATAATGACTGGTGGGCCTATAAGCGGCTAAGACAGAACTACCTGACCACCCCACGGGCTAGGACACGGGTAGTCCTACCAAATCCCAATCCCCCCAAGGTTTTGCTTCTTAATAGCAAAATGTTATGACTCATTAAAATATATAAAATAGCCTAAATTCAAAAGAGTCACAATATCACTTCTCCTTATATGAGAGCGGTTGTCCTCAGACGCCTAACAAATAGAAAAAATCAATGAAGAGAAAAATAAAAACTATACCTGAGGAGAGAAAAGTAGCACCTTTGATATTGATGTGGTTTGTCTTAATTGACCACCCCTTGGCGCAAATACAACCTGTAGGTTGGACCCGTAAGGATTCGGCACATTGTACATGATTTCCTTTCTAGCTGCCAGCTACAACACAAGTTGTACCCATCCCAAGGAATAGAAACCAATCCTATGGTAACTAACCACTAACTACTTGTTCTTTTGTCATGGTTTTTGGCTCGATGTACAGGCGATGTGCCCGCCGCAGTGCCCAATTCGGCCAGAATAGCCTTCCTCCACCAGATAACGGCGGGCGGTCTGAGGCGCTTACTCCTTTGGAGTGCGCAGTATGGGCCCAAGTCTGCGAACGGTTGGGCATGGAGCGGCAGTGCACGCAGTGAGCGCGCGATGCCGGTGCGGCTCGCGGGTGCAGTTGCGTAGAGGCGAGTGGTCGGCAAGAGCTACAATCCATTGGGTATTAGGGTCACCCTTTGGCATGCCCCGTATCAGATAACAATGCGGACAGCATCACCATATCGATAGTATCTCATCCCCCCAGTACGGTTGCGGAGGGGTCCCAAAGTATAATATTTTCTAGTAGTTATATCTC